TATTATTTCTTTAAAAAACAATAACAAATATTTACAAAGCGTTTCTGATTGTCAATCTCAGTTCCAAGAGTTTCATTTGCATATGCTACTTAATTTTAAAAGAGCATTATGGTAAACACGCTACCTTTCCCATTTTGCAGAGGACGAAACAAAGACAGAAGAAGAAGAAGAAGAAGAAGAAGAAGAAGAAGAAGAAGAAGAAGAAGAAGAAGAAGAAGAAGAAGAAGAAGGATGTAGTGTGAATCTTAAAGAGTCTTATTAATAAAATCAAACCCAAAGCCAGGTATTGGGGTGAAGCTGGAAGATCAGAGAGACAGAACCAGCCACAGCTAACCTCACAGGCCAACTTCTCAGCTGATCCTGTTTCCTCAGACTGGAAGCTTCTGTGTCCTCATACCCGAATGGGTCTCAGCTGAACTGCTGCTCGAAAGCCTGAAAGCTTAACCAGCCAAAATGCTTCTAGTTTCTGGTCCTCATGCCTTATATACCTTTCTGCTTTCTACCATCACTCCCTGGGATTAAAGGCTCGATTTCTGGGATTAAAGGCGTGAGTCACCATACTTGGCTGTATCCTTGAACAGATGAATTTCTGCCTCTGGAAGGCTAGGATTAAAGGCGTGTGCTACCACTGCCTATCCTAAGTATCTAGTGGCTTTTCTGTTCTCTGACCCCAGATAAGTTTATTAGGGTACACAATATTTTGGGGAACACAATACCACCACAGAAGAAGAAGAAGAAGAAGAAGAAGAAGAAGAAGAAGAAGAAGAAGAAGAAGAAGAAGAAGAAGAGGAAGAGGAAGAGGAAGAGGAAGAGGAAGAGGAAGAGGAAGAAGAAGAAGAAGAAGAAGAAGAAGAAGAAGAGGAAGAGGAAGAGGAAGAGGAAGAAGAAGAAGAAGAAGAAGAAGAAGAAGAAGAAGAAGAAGAAGAAGAAGAAGAAGAAGAAGCAGCGGCAGCAACATGGTGATTTTATGTTCATGTGTTACAGGATTTGAATTCTGATTCATTCTGGCTTCAGAAACTCTGCCCTTAATGAGCTTCATTCTGAATATGTGAAGTTTGAGATGTACATGAAATATCAAGAATGGATATGAAGGAGGCAGAACAGTATGTTTAGTCTGTGGTTTGGGCTGCAGATTTAAATTTGCAGGTCATTATCATATAGATATTTTAGAAAGCTGTGTGTCTAAATAAGATGCCTTGAAGAGGGAATAAAATCATTCCATAGGCTGGGCTGGAGTGTTGCTGCTTTTAGAGTGAGAGATCTAACAGAACTGTCCATAAAGTGCAGCAGATAGGACAGATGAAAACTAAAGTGAAGCATGACTGTGGGTCAAGTATCAATGGGTCATATTTGCCCAGTGCAGCTTAAGTGGTCAAGCAAGGTGAAGACTGAAGACTGACCATTCAAAATGGAGGTCATTAGAAACCCTGGTCATCCCATAGTAGTAACAGCACCCTAATTGATGAGGTTGAAAACCTGAGGCTCCTTATAGCTTTGCTAAGGTAATTAAAGATGCCTGAAGACAGGAGGGTAGGGAGGAAGGAAGCAATAGAAGACAGAAATGAGGTGACTGTTCCCAAATACCTCAGTCAGCTACAATATATATATTTTGTATCTTCTGCACATCTAGCTCTAATAGGCACTGAACAGCAATGATATCGAATCTTCAGTCATTCATTCATTGCTAATGAACCAAATATTTAAAGGGGGGAATGATGACTATTTTATTTTGCTGTTGCTGTGATGAAATACCATGACAAGAGCAACTTAAGAGAGAAAGGGCTGATTTAGCTTGCAATCCCAAGTCACAGTCGATCATATTAGTGGAGTGAGAGGCAGAAGTCTGAAAGAACTGCATTTAATCCACAGTCAAGAGCAGGTAGCATTTAATCCACAGGCACGGCAAGGCTTGGCTAGCTCTCTCCTTTTCATGAAGTTCAGAGCTCAGTGAATGAAATCGTATTTCTCACAGTGGGGTGGATCTTCACACTTCAATTAACCCAATCACTGGCATGCCCACAGGTCAACCAAATTTACAATGATTCCTGGATTTTTTGTTAAGACTCACTTCCCAGGTGACTCTCCATTATGTGGGATCAACAATCAGAACTATGCATCACAATGATCACCCTCCCTCCCATAATCTACATAGCACTGTTTTCCATACTCTTTTTCATTGCCATCCATACATCTATTTAACTTTTGATTTATCCTGTTAAATTCCCAAGCCTTTTTTCAGATATATGTCCATTGTTGTTGGTTGTTTTTTCTACTCTTTGCTCTTTTACTCTTTTGGGGGGCCCACCACCCAGCTCCCAAATAAATCACACATGCAGGCTTGTTCTTAATTATAAATGCTCAGCCTTAGCTTGGCTTATTGCTAGCCAGCTTTTCTTAACTTTTATTACCTTTTGCCTCTGGGCTTTTACCTTTCTCTTACTTCTACAAATCTTACTTTCACTCTTACTCTGTGGCTGGCTATGTAGCTGGGTGGCTGGTCTCTGAGATCCTCCTCTCCTTGTTCTCTTACTCTTTCTTCTTCTAGATTTCTCCTTCTATTTATACTCTGCCTGCCAGCTCCACCCATCCTTTCTCCTGCCTTGCTATTGGCCATTCAACTCTTTATTTGACCATCAGGTGTTCTAGACAGGCAAAGTAACACAGTTTCTCAGAGTTAAACAAATGCAACATAAACAAAAGTAACACAACTTAAAACAATATTCTACAACAATCTGATGTAGTAATCATGATAAAAAAGCATTAGATGTATATATAACATTGGTTATAGTTTTATTTCATTTCTACTATTTATGTAGGTTGAAGTCATAATAATATGACAGGTTTGTTGATATGCCTTCTATCTCTGTGAAGTTGTGTGCAGCTCTTTAGTGTCCAGGATAATATCTGGGTCCATTGCAAATTGCTATAATTTGCCTGATTTTAGGTAGCCCAAGACATTTTTGCCCAGGTGGGTGCTTAGGAAGTCAATGCTGGCTGCCTGGGTCCTGATTTTGTACCTTAAACTTGTAGACTTGTAGCATTGAGCAAATTTTCTTCATATCTTCTACACAGCACCCTATTTGTTGCTGTGAAGGTTAAGTGAATTAATGTATCAGAAGCCATTATGATTGATTTATGCTTTATATTTTGTAGGTAATCAACAAAATGGTTAATAAGTGTACCACATGAAAAAAGTTGGTGCCTGGAATACGTTTAATGAATAAATCACATTTTTGTTTATCATCAATAACTTTTAAAATTTCCTCTTTGGATCAGTGACAATCTTGTGGGCATGTACTGTGTGTCAGACAGCTAGACATAAATAATAATAGAATGGGTACTTTTTTTTGGAGGTCAAAATGTGACACGTGACCCTCTCTGTTACTTCTTTTAGGGAGTTATTACAGTTTGAATAAGAAATGTCCCTCATAGGTATGTCCGTTGAACAACTGGTCTGTTTTGGGAGATTCTGGAAACTTTAGGAGGTGAACTCTAGTGGAGGAGGTGCAGCATGGATGGGACAGTTCTATCTGGTCCCCTGCCTTCTTCCTTCCCAGGGCTTCCAATGGTCCAGAAAGTGAACAGCCAGCCTCTCTTCCATATTCTTCCCACAGCGCAGCTCAGAGGCACTGTGGACTCAAATCTCACAGGCTGTGAGTCAAAGAACGTCTTCCCATCACTTCAGTTGTTCTCTCAGGTGTTTTGGTCACCACAGAGTAAAGATAACACAGGAGTGACGCTCTGCCACGTCAGGGACTCATCTGAGGTTTGAACAGGCAGCATTTTTTTTTTTTTTTTTTTTTTTTTTTAGTATATCTGGTATTTCCTGGCTTGCCTTTTGTTCCCACTCACACAGGCCCCTTTCTTTTACACCTCTTTTCTCATTGCTTAATTGCTTCGTCGGGGACTCAGTTTCTTGAATAAACCAATTAATAAGACAGTTAAGTAGCTTGTGGGTGGAGCAGACTTAAAGGAGGTGGCAAGGGGCAAGGCCTGTGGGAAGAGACAAGTGTGTTTGGCAGACTGCCTTAGTTGGGGGATACTCTGAAATGGGGACAGGGTTTGAAGGGCCTTGCTTTCGGGGAGGCTCTCGAACAAGGAAATTGACTTAAGGAAGGCCATTATAAAGCTCCTTGGACGCTTACATAACTGCAGTGTTGAGTGGAGATGGCAGCTGAAGCTTTTTTAAGGGTCCGGAGATATGAGAATGAATGAATAGGAAATTGTTGTCTTCTGTAATCGATTATTTCACTGGCTCGCCCATGTATTTTTTTTTTTTTTTTTTTTTTTTTTTTGTCCAGCTTACTCGCCCTGAATGCCAGCTTTGTGCCTCTCATTGTGCTAGCCGCTGGTTACGAACAGTGGACGATACTGATTCAGGATGGGAGCTCTCTTTCCAGTGACTGCCACTTCTAGCAGAGCAAGAGAGAGAGAGAGAGCTCCTGACTGCGGACACCGCTCTGCTGCATCTGGTCCCTGTTGCTCTAGGAGCTCGGCACATGGTGAGCTCTCTAGGGTGCAGCCTGAATCGAATCATGGCCATTAGTGTGTGACAGGTGAACACACAGACGGAAGGATCCTTAGGGTAGTGTCGACCTGGGCTGCAGGACCGCGATCTTGCAGGAAGCACGCCGGTGCGCCTAAGGTGTGCAGGGGGCGCCGCACCTGCCCTGAGCGCTTGGCCGCGCGCCCGGCCGCCTGCAGGGCTAGCCCTTCCTCGCGTGCTCCGCCCCGGCACCGCTGGCCCACGCGGGGGCACCCAGCGCAGCCTGGCATCCGCCGGCGGCGGGCGGGTCCCGTGCGGCTCCTCCTCGCAGCGGGCGGGACTGCCCCGCGTGCCGCCCCCACCCCACCCTTGGGAAGCCCAGATCGCGGGCGGAGCGCAAGCCAGAGCCACCGAGGCGGGTGGAGCCTGCGGCCGGATCCCGGGGCCAATCGCGCGGTGGCGGGGGAGGAGCCCCGGAGGGGGAAAAAGAAAGTGCGGCGGAAAGTAAGAGGCTAGTCGGGGAAGGCTGCCAGGATCTGGAGCTCCTGGGCTCAGCTTGGACCAGGGCTCGGAAAGAGGCAGTGGCCGGCCACCCTGCACCCATCCCGTCGCCGTCGCGGAGCCCGCTCGGCTGGCCCAGGAAGGTGAGTCTCGCGTTGCCAGGGAGGGTTGGGTTGGAATGGCCAGCCGCAGTAACTCGGGGTAGTAGGATTCTTATAGATCGGCTCCTACAACCCTTCTGTTTTACAGACGGGAAAACAGACACAGGGCCAGACAGCCGCCACGCTAAACACGCTAACACTACTAGTTAGTGCGGCGGCCGTCGGGATTCGAACTCAGCAACCCAAAGCCCTGTCTTTGATTGGTAGGATTTAAGTATCATCGCAGTCGTGGGACACCTGCCCGTAGCTGTGCGGGTTCTCGGCCCTTTTGTGGGCTCTGTACCAGTCTCCCTGTGCCTAGGGTTCTCTGGAGCGCGCTGTAAGCGTGAAGCGAGCAGGAGGCTGTGTCCCAGCACACCCACTCCATCACGTCGCTTGCAGCCCCAGCAGTGACAGCCTGGGGAGAGGCTGCCAGCAGCCTTGCTAGCTCCTTTCCTGACCTGCTTCCCACCCCCCACCCCTCACCGCCCCCTTTCTGAGCGAGGCTGGTCTCTACTAGGGCCCTGATGAGTTCGGGAGAGAGGTTAAGAGACAGCCAGGTGCTGGTCAGGGCGCTCCCAGCCTTGGAGGCAGCAGGACTGGTTCTCCCTGGGGACACAGGACGCCTGTCCTTTAGGAACAGCTGACTTCATGGAAGCCTGGAGCTCTAAGTCCTGGCTGGGAATAAGGAAGCCGAGTTAAGGAGAAAAATCAAAACCACGAAAGCAAACTTCTGCTGCTTCCTTTAGGAGACAGTTTCCCCCTGCCCTCCTTCAACACACTGGTTGTGAAATTGTGAACCAGGGCGCCACAAGAAACATTAGGACGCTTTGCAGTGCAGATTCCTGGTTAGCGATGGGCTGAAAATGTCTGTTTTTCTATTTGTGCCTGTGTTGGCTGTGTGAACTTGGGCGGTTTAGCCCATTCTTGTGATACCATTTCAAGCGGCAAAAATGGACACTGGAGTACTCACTATGATTCCTCGGGGTAGTTGGGAGGACGAAACAGAACAGTTCAAGTGACATGTTCAGATTGGTGCCTGGCCTGGCAACTTTGGTAAATATTGCCGGATATCGAGGGTTCACTGGGTTTGAGAAATGTGATTTCCTACTTCTTTGGAGTGACCTTTTTAAAGCCTGGAAATAGAATGGTATTTTCCCCCTTTAGAATTTGAACATTTTTAAAATATTTTTTTAGTTTGAATAGTTTTTAAAAAAATTTTTTGCATTTATGTATTTGTGTGTGTTTGTTCATGTGCATGCATGCATGTGTGTGCACTTGTGCATGCATGCATAGGTGTGCACTTGTATGTGTGTGCATGTACCTGCGTGTATGCACATATGTGGGAAGATCCGAGGACAGCTCTCAGGAATCTGATCTCTTTTTCCACCAGGTGGATGGAACTCTGGTGGTCATGTTTGGGGGCAGGTGACTTTACCTGCAGGGCCTGAACAGTTCTTTCCAGTGTTTTCTGAATCTCGTCTCCAGGTAGACTTGGTTGTAAAACTGGTGTTTGAGCAATGTGGATTTCCTCCTCGTTTTCAGGTCAAGCCTCCAGCCTATGAAATGTCTTGGTCAGAGGCATCCTAGGTTGGCAAAGAGGGTCTTATATTTCATAATGGTTAAAAAAGACGAGCAGGAAGCTTGAAGTTGAAGCAATGTCATAGATGGGGTCGCGTCTTCTCTTCCTGTTCTTAGGTTCATCTAACAACTTCATATTCTTGAGCTAACACCAGAAAGCAACAGAATTTTTGTATCTTCTTCAATGGCACTGAAGCTCAGTCTCTTTGGGATATGAATTTGCTTTATTTAAACACAAATACATACCTATGCTCACACGAGCTGTGTTACCTGTCTTTTAAAATTAAGCAGCTTCCATAGACACCCCTACACTACTTGCATGACAATTGATTTTATTTTGATCCATACAATTATTTACTACCATCTACTGGCCATGCTGAAAGTCCCTGAAATGGAGCGGTTGGCATTTATTAGGGGCTGTCTCCTTCACAGTCCACAGCATTTGCATGAAATATTGATGAACTCCAGGGAAGGGGCGGGATACATCTTGAGAGAAGGTGAGGTTTTGGTGGTGGTACCTCCCGCACCAGGCATTGCCACAGGACAGGGTCACGTCTGTTTGTAGGCTGTCCCTTCTGATTGCATTGTGATGACTTGGTCAGGATATGTCTAAATGTGTGCCTGAGAAACCAGGGACTTGTGGGGAAAAGGGAACTGCTCAAAATAAGGTTGAACAAGGGGATGGGAGAGACATTGAAAGCCAATTCCTTTTGGTTCCAGGTTTTTGAAGAAAGCATATTGAGTTTTATTTTTCCTGATACATCTTATTACTTGCTGTTGTACCCAAACTGTGTGTGTGTGTGTGTGTGTGTGTAGGACTTTAACATTTCCAAGTGTGTTCCATACATATTATTTTCCTCGTTGCTTGTGATGACCCTTGGAGATGCTCAGGGTCAGCATATTACTAGTGGGAGGGCCTATGGTGTGGTAAAAGCTACTTGATTTTAAATTCTGGATCTGATACATACATTGTTGATGGGTGTCACTGGGAAAATTGTTTCAACTTTCAGAGCTTCTGTTTTATCCAGTTCTTAAATGACTTAAAAATGCTTAATGCTATGGTTTCATGTGAAGATGAGGTTCAATGCTTCACATCAAGTGCACGCAGTAGAGAACTGTTCATTAAATGGAACCTTCTCTTAGCTTATCTCAATTCATTGGAAAGAAAATTAAAATGAGACCTGCAGAAGTAAGAGGTTTCCAGGGATCAGAGAGTTAGTGAATTTCTGCCCTAGGACTATAGTTCACACTCTGAGTTCTCCTTCAGTTTCTGTCAGGTGTTTTCCCATCACACCCTGCTACCTCTCCAGGAGAACTTGAACAATTTATTTTCATTCTTAGGTTGACCTTATTTGGCCGGTGATTTCAGGTCACAAAGTGGTTATTTCTTTGCTAAGGGAACAGTTCTTCACCCTGGCTCTGTAGAGGTTGTGGACTTGACTCCTTGTAGAGTTCCCACGTGTGCTGTTGAGGGCAGCATTCCATCCCCATGGATTTGATGAGATGCACCTTCGGATCCTAGGAAGAAAGGGACGATCAGGACAGGGAGATCAGCATTGTGTTGGGCTTCATCTTCCTATTCCGGATGGCTTCTTCCTCCTGCCTTCCTGTAATTGGTTGGTAGTTGGCTTGATAATTAAGGAAGAAATGCCACAAGTGGCCTAGCACTCTCCAGCTCTCTCACCACTTTCATAGACAGAGTGGGATAGAGAGAACAGCATGTGTAATGCTTCATCTTTATTGCCAACTCGACAGGAGGTAGAATCACTTAGATCTGTGAAACACCTCTCTCTCTCTCTCTCTCTCTCTCTCTCTCTCTCTCTGTCTCTCTGTCTCCGTCTCCGTCTCTGTCTCTCTGTCTCTCTGTCTCTCTGTCTCTCTCTGTCTCTGTCTCTCTGTCTCTCTCTCTGTCTCTCTCTCTCTCTCTCTCTCTGTCTCTCTGTCTCCGTCTCCGTCTCTGTCTCTCTGTCTCTCTGTCTCTCTGTCTCTCTCTGTCTCTGTCTCTCTGTCTCTCTGTCTCTCTGTCTCTCTGTCTCTCTGTCTCTCTCTCTCTCTCTCTCATGAGTGTGTGTGTGTGTGTTTCAGAGGGAGGGCATTTCCAGAGAGGATTAATTGTGGAGAAGGGATATCCACCCTGAATTTGGACAACATCCCATCGGATGGAGGCCCAGACAGAATAAAAGAGTAAAGGAAGACATAAGCAGAACAGCAGTTTTTCCTTTGTGTGTGTGTGTGTGTCTCCTGGTTAGCCATGATGAAAACAGCATTCCTCTACCCCAACCTCCCACCCCATTGATGTTTTGTAGTAGTACACAGGAACACATTCCCATGGTTGGACTGCATTTGCTCAACCAAAATAAGCCCCTCCTCCGTTGAGGGGTCTATGTTAGATATGTTGGTTGCAAGGACAGAAAGCTAACTAATGAAGTATGTAAAAGCAGCATTGGGAGGGAACCAATGCTCAATGCTCGATAGTACCACTAGCCATTGGTCTAGAGTTTCCGCCCTCCTTGTAGGAACTGGTAGCCTCAGGTGTATAGAGAAGGATGGACGGAGTCACTGAGGCCATTTGTCCCTGGAGATTCTCCCTGAGACAGGCTTCTCTCCTTTGTTGCTAACAGGCAGCCTTACTAATGCACTTCTAGAAGAACCGTTTTGCCATTTGGGAGCCTGTGTCTGCTCTTGCCCCATAGTAGACACTTCGCATTATCTTACTTGGTAGAATTAGGAAAGGAGAGTGTGGCTGGAGGAAATCAGAGGAGGAGGCAGAGGGAGAAACTAAAAGATTATCTATCTTCAGCACACACAGGGCTTCACTGGTTGCTCAACTTCATCAGGCCGTTGCAGGTGGCACAGATGTAGGATCTAGTGAGTCATTGTTGCCTTGCCTGTGAAATATTCAAGAAGGCCACCTATTGTGCTCTTTGCCCATTTTGGAAGTTGTTCTGTAGTAGGAAAGAAAAAGAAAAACACCCAAGAACAAGAAGGTTGCACTACACTTGGAATTTGATATTTTGGAGAATATATCAGGTTAGCTACTCATTTGCTCATTTGTTTTTAATGTAGAATATGTAATTTATTATGGTGGAATGGTGAGCAGACTTTATCAACCATGAATTCTAGAGTCTGGCAGGTCCCTGAGGCAAGTGATTCTAAAGGGATGATCCTCAAATTCTATAGCTTAGTAGCTACTTAGAAATAGTACCTTAGATCTCTCTCTCTCTCTCTCTGTCTCTCTCTGTCTCTCTCTCTCTCATCTCTCATTTTACTTCCTTCCTTTCTTTTATCTGCTTTTTGTTGGTTTGTTTGCTTGCTTGCTTTTTGAGAAAGAGACTCATTAGTCCAGGCCAGCCCCAAATTTGCCCTGTAGCCAAAAACGACATTGAACTTCTGATCCTCTTCCCTCTTATCCCCCCAGTATA